AGCAATATTCATTTTTTAACCATTTCAGCAAAAAAAAAAACAGCTATTTTGTGAAAAGTGATGGAAAAAATATTCCTTTTAACCAAAATTTTGGCACAAAAATGAGCAAAACTGTGCATCTGCCTGCAGATTAATTTTTAAACCATGAATAGATTGGAGATCCATACAAAAACAGCCATAATCTATGTTTTGATCATGATTGTCCCAAAGCTGCTCACCATAAGAAATCCTAACCCAGATAAGATTTGATGGATGATGACAAGCTAGAAGTACAAAAAAGAACAGATAGACTTCAGCCTTTGTCTTGTTTAAGTATAAGATAAGGGAACCACAGAGCTAAGCAGAAATTTGTCACTGGAAATAGATTGACTAGGAAGGATAACGAAAATCTTAGGGATATAATAGGTACAACTTCTCATGACAATGCATCACAAAGCTACAGTCTTACTTTGAATGGCCACTCATTCCAAGCTGAATGTTAACAATAGCACTTTATTTCATTGTATATGCCAGAGTCATTGAAGAACTTTTTGCAAAAGTAATATACAAAATTTTGGACATGAAATGCAACAGAAATGATAAAATAAACACTATAGAGAGAGAGTAATTTTCTACCAGCTAAGTTGTAAATTATGTGGACGTTTCCTATCAGGCATACAAGTTTATAAATGATTGTACAGGAAAACAACTTGAAAAGAATGTTACCAAAGCTCATAAAAATTCAATCTTTTCTCATGCCATGCATTAATTGCTTTATCTACATCACACTTTTATCTCAAAAAATGATAAATTATTCATATCCCCTTCCCAAAAGTTATCAATTTTCTTTGACAAATCTTGATGTACTTATCTGAGGTGATCAGTGAAATTTGCAGGAGAATGCGGGACATTCCTCCCTGCTCTGATAGTGTCATCATCCATCTTGTGTTATCTACACTGGGGGAAAAACTCATCATGACAAAATAATTGAAGTCTTTGTGACACTCACTGCTCTTTTATCAAGAGAATAGATGAAAAAGGAATAGAAGATGGTATCGGAGAAGGATTCAGTTACGGTAGGGCCAGAGATATTCAGATATATGGATACAAAACTGTTTTTATGCCCAGCAATATGTGTTCTCAGCAAAAGATAACGTCATACATACACAGACATGTTTGTAGATAATAAAATCTTGAAAAAAAAAAAACACTTGTAGACTACATTCTAGCTCATTCCAATGTGTCTTCGCAACAATGGTGCAAATTAAATTTCCAGTACAAAAGATTACCTTGCAACATAAAATCCTGTTCAGCTTAAAGGCTTAGAGTTCAACATGAATAAACATAAAACATGGCTTCCCTGCAGTATTTGGAACATTTTTCCTCCACACCCGGATTAGACGTGCAAAGCCTTGCAAGATCACAACACGATACCTCAAACCAGCTGTTTATAGACACAATTGTGGGAGCAGATCTCTAAATCTAGTGGCTGAAACATAATTATAGTGATGAGAAAATTTTCCATTGTGTGTTTCCAGAGATCTGCTGCAAAGAAAGAAAAGTAATTCTACAAGCTTTGTCAACATGCCTAAATCCACAGAAAGCTGATTTAATTATATTTTCATTGGTTTGAATTTCTGTCAAACATGATTAAACACAAAAGGCAGGAAGTTCCTCCACTCAAAACATGCGACAAGGATTATCGTAAGTCTTTCAGACAACAGGTATTCGGAAGCTGCTACTTAAGAGCGGTACTTTGATCAGGTAGAAGTTACTTCGGGCCTTCAATCATCTTAACAATAGAATCTTTAACAATAGCAACTTTTCTAACTGTATGAGTTCGGACATTAAGTTCAGACATTCAATTAGCTGTGTACTTATGTTACCTACTGCCTGAAATTATTTTGTTCTTGTTGTTGTTCTGGCAATGAAGAATACTAGTATCACAAAACAACATTAATGTCATGTTAAATTTCTGCTGTCAATCTTTGCAAAATACATAGCTTTATTCCTGATGATCTTTGTCAGTTGGGAAGGTTGTAGCAAGAAAACAGATAAGGGTGGACGAATTCAACATTTTTTTGTTATTGAACAGTGCTTCTCCATTCCTTATTTCTTTCTTAGTGAAAGAAACAAAACTTTCTACCAGCTGCTTTCTTCAAGAGTTGGCAAACATATACATGCACTACCAGCATGCTCACAGGATAAGTACAATGTTTTTAGTAATTACAGAGAGAGAAAAGCAACTTATAAACTCAATCTAGTGTTCTTATGCCAAACCTTTCTGATCCCTGAATAGTTAATTCACCTGTTAATTGCCAGCTATCAGGCAGGCAGACCACAGGACTCCACATCAGTCTTCTGTGACAGGTGGCACAAGCTTACATTCCCATGGGCGACAGGCAATCAACAACAACTGGCACTGCCCAGCAGTAATTAGAACCCAGACAAACTGTTTCTTCAAACTTCCTGAAAGGAACATGCACTTAAAATTCATTTATTGCATCTGCAGTTTCAAAGGGAACCAGCAATGGTTGCAAATGTGTAAGATTTGGGTCCTCTTTATATTGTTTAGTTTTCTAATACATGTATTCTCCAACTCCATTTTGTTAGCAAAAAAAGTACCACATGCAAAGCATAATTGTTTCAATTGCACAATGTTAAATCGAATGTAAAAACTCTCCTTTGCTTGACTTTTGCTACAGTGGAACATCACAACTCATTTATAAATCAATCCTGAGAGATACAAATCTTATACTGTCTGAAAGATATGGATCTAATATCAATTACTCTAGGTTTGGCAAAAACAACATCTGTTTGGTTCATTTGATAAGGTTCACAAACTTAGTCTAGTTTGTCTGATTGACTCAATAGTGGCAATACACATTTTATTAGACAGAACTCCACGAATCATGCAGAAGCAAAGAGGTTCAATAGACCTCCTTGGTAGAAGGAAACATCTACAGATATCTACCAATATAACAATTCACTCCTGGGTTCAGCAATAGCAGTTTAGAAAGTCAGCATGCCATGCAACAATTGTCAAGAAAAAAGGGGCAAGGTGTTATGTGATCTAATTGTGCAAATCTTTTTTTACCAATGCCTAAAGATTCCATGGCATAACAAACAGAGACAGATATACCTTTTTGGTTAGTTCAAAAGAAAAAAAAAATCTGCCTTCTTTCCGAATGTAGTATATACTTGGAACCTAGAAAGAATTATTCACTACACAGTCTAATTCTTATTTTACAAGATTACATGTTCACCATTGCTTGGTATTACCTTGGAGTTTTGTATATTAGCTCCATGGTATAACCCTATGTACCAACAGGTATTGTTTGCCCAGTACTTAGCTAAGACAATAGAGGCATGGTGCCACAGCAGGGGGGTATTGTGTTGTCTGATTGTTGTGGGAGGACCTGCATCACCTGGGGAATATCTGCAGCAGGGGGAATTTATTCTCTATTCATCTTCATTGCAGTCAGCTCCCCTCCTCAATACTGTAATCATCCACACATTTACCTGTAATTTTGTGGGCATAATGACTGGGCGAGTCTTCCTTGGTTTTCAAGAATTTTTCAACAATAACAGTCTTGATGAAGCTTTCCTAGACTGCCAGAACAGATATTACAAAATGTATTACTTATTCCATGCACCAAGTTCTGTGTCATTGTCTATTAGAATTATTAGATACTTAAATAGTTCAACTTCCATTTAATAAATATGTACAAGTGCGATGCACTGTACCTGCTATGATTGCATTGTGCAATAAAGTTCTTAGTCTTCTCCTACTTCAGAGATACTTCAGAGAAAACATGAGATATGAGATCATTATGAAAAGTCTGAATCATCTTGGTAGCTGCAGCTACATGAGTAGGACCTGGAAAATCTGAGAAAAGTGTTTGTGCCTCCAAGAGGTGGCAAAAGTATAACAGTCTTCCATGATAATATGCAAGTGTGGTATTGAATTATGTCTAAAGTCATAGATTGTATTCTTGTGACAAAGAAGTTCATGAGCACTGTCTATATTTGAAGGATTGTTTCCCCGGCCTATCCATCTGCTATTTTGATGTGCTGTTGCAGTGTAGAAACGGGAAAGCATACAGTCATGTATTCAAGGTAAGGATTGTACTTACTAGTATCCGTAACTGGTAGCAAAAAAACACCTGTAAGAATGCAGCATTTTTTACAAAAAAGTTCTTTTGCTTTTCCGAAAGTCTAGGCTTCAAGTAGGAATCGTATTCTTGTTTGCTGCCTTTGTTTTCTTATTTACACCTGCAAACCAAAACAACTTTGAGAAAATTGTAGTTTGTATGTTTGGATACAAACAAATTGCCTGTTTTAAAGCATAAATATTTAAAAAGCAAGAAACACAATGAAAACAAACTCACCAATTATGTTCAATGTTCAAAATGATAGCAATTTCCTAGACAGCAGGAGAAAAACATGATTGCGAAGGGGCAGACAAAATATTTTCCTGCTGTTTGTTTCCTAGGATCGACCCCTTAGGGGCGGTGCCGGAATTGTAGGGGTCAAAATCGACATTGTCTGTGCTGTTAATCTGCAGAATTACTGTCTAAGGGAAAACCAAACAGACGTATCATCCTGCGATTAACTGCTGTGGTAATACACACAGGGAAATCACACAGCATGCATAGTGTATAAGTACATAATAACTACAATTACTGTGTCTGACGAAATACAAAATTTATCACAAATCTACACCAACAAGTACCAATATAATACACATGAAAACGCAATTTTATAGTACTTATATTGAAAATGATACTCCATACTTGTAAGACTGTATTAGCAGTGTCGAATGAAATACAAAAGAGAGAAGCCTTCCCTTAATTAAGTGCCAAGGTAATCTACAAAGGACACAATGGACCTGACAGAAAAATTGGGGTCAATTCCAAAATTGTGTCTGACCTCAAGCCAATGATTACTGTCTAAGGACTCCAAAGAAAATAAATCTGGTAATTAAGTGCTGAGAAGACACACAAGGATCTTACCTATGCCAGGTGTTCTAGGTGTGTACAGGTAGTTTTTGTGACAGGTATACATTCAGGTGCACAGTGGGATAGCTGCAGCATGTGTCTCCGCTCTATTGTCTGTCACAGTTGCACTTCTACTTGAGAAAAACTAATATTTTCACAGGAACAAAACCACTTGTCAAGTGTTGTAAGAGGGCTTCTATAACTTAGTACCATTGAGAAAAGGCCTTGATTTGCCAACTGGGATGACTGGAGCTACACTACATTTTTCTTTTGACACCAAAATCATTCAATGGTATATGACATTGGAAGAAAAATATAAGACAAAAAGAGATGGTGAACACCCAAAAAAATTAAAAGCTTGTAAGTGAAAGGACTAATTATTGCAGGTCATTTCTTGTAAGTATCTTCTTAGACAACAAGAAATAAATTTTATTTATATCATTTGAGTTTGTTACAAGATACAAATATCTGAAAAACAAATTATGACATTAATTATTGCGTTTTTTTAATCAGCCATTTACATTTGCCAAATTGTCCCTGTAATGACTACTTTGCTGTCTGTTCCTTTGTTTCAGCAGTTTTGTTGCCCCGGAACAGTGGGGGTCTCAAGTTTAAAACTGTGTTCCAATCTTTAATGTCTATAATTACCATTTTAATTGATGTTTGAAAACCCCCATGTGGAGCCATTATCTCCACATGTAGTACACAATTAATATCCAAGCAGATGTATGAAGGAAAAATCATGCCATCCTTGCACAATTTGCCTCCCAACCCAAATACATTTATGTGCAGAGATACATATGTGAAACATTCTTCACCATTACATCTGCTAGCGCTTGGAGACAATGGTGGGAAGTGCACAGAGACCTTACCTGTACCAGGTGTGGAGGGCGAGGTCAGGTGGAACAGGTAGTTATCACCACAGGTGTGTATTCAGGTGCACAGCAGGGTGTGTCAGCAAGTGTCCTCTGTCTCCTTCATGGCCACCTGCGGAGAGACAATTACCCAAAACAAATATTTTTGTATTAGTACAAATCAATTACTGTTTGCATCTTGAAATGTGCACCGTGGTCTTATTTTCGCAGTTTTTTTGTTATTTTTATGACTTCTAACTGAAAATGTAACACCGATAAATATGTGTTTTGTACCTTTACTGTACTACAGTTGCAAGTTTCAACTACAAATACCAAACATCATGAAATCCTTCTCTTAACTTAAGACAAAGCCACCACGAAAAATAACTGCATTTACAGTACTCTCTGCCCAAAGTTCATTTTACTTTCAAACAGTCTTACGGACAAGACAGTTGTTTATAGTTCAACACAAGGATTTCCAAAACTTGTCATAACAATAATATCAGTGCAACTCCACTGTACAGAAAAATGAAGGAAAAGAAAAGACAATAGGATCATCAGAAATTCTGAAAATATTCAGTAATCAGAGTTTTGAATACACATGTACCAGAACTTCTTTCAGATCCTTAGAAATATAAAAAAATGTCTTTTACTTCTAAATGTAGGTTTAGGGTATTCTAAAGCTTTTTTTTTCATTCTATCTCTAGTACCAAAGACTTGATAGCGTTATTGTATGAAACACTGCAGGTGTAAGTGCAGGTGTGTTGTTACTCTGATCTCTGCAGCAGATTTACGACATGTAAACATCAGTACAAACAGGACCTTCTGTCTGTCTGCCCATTCACGCATGTCTCCTGGACTATAGGCCCGATTTACACAGGGCAAAAAATACTACCAAGATTGACGCACGGCATAGCAATTTTTGTGTGTCAAATCCTGGATGTGTCTCAAGATAATTATCACACAATCCAAAAATCTGTCCTACAGCATTTTTTGGCTCATGTAAATCGGGCCTTCAGGGCTCGAAATTAAAGGTGGTCCAATAGCCACTGACCACTAAAATTTAGGCTTGGACAACTAGTAAAAAGACACTTTGAGACATTTTTGGGACAATAGAAAAATAACCACAATGTCAGCCCTTCTTTTGTTTTTATCAGGCACACAGCTGTTGGATCCGGAAAAGTCCTCCCAAATTTCCTGTCTACTCTGCAATAATAGTGTGCCTGGGAGTGAATATAAGCAAAATAAAGTTGAAGTCATAGAATACTTCTCCAAAAAAACAGGTAGGGACAGTTCATCCTCACTTCGGGACAATTGAAATTTATTTTTGGGATAATGCTGGGACAATAGGAAGAAAAGTTCATTTCGAGGCCTGGCCTTATGTGACAGCCTGACAGTCTTCACCATATCACAACACCACCCGTCCGCTCTGGGTCAACACAACACAAGCTGTGGGGCAGCAATCTTCTACAGTTGCCACCTGCGGAATGCCAGGAATTATGTTGGGGATGTTTTGAACAAGAGATCGATACAAGATGTCATGCAGGGGGCACGACAAGGGCTGCTTAAACGGTTCAAGCTCCTTGGCTTAACCATGGTGCAAGTATGACATCTCTAGTCCACCATACAATCATCATCATCTGTCGACCCGGTGGTATGGGATATCATAAATTAACACATTATGCTATAAATGCGTGTTTGATCTGCCACAGTTCTAAGTTCAGTGCTACAAAAGCTACAAAATGAGACATTGATCACACCCAATTGAATCTGAAGGTGGCATTTCTATGTTAACAATATTAAGAATAGGAGCAAGGTAACGTTATGGTCTATTCAAACAGACTGAAAATGTAAGATCTCTTAATGTGACAAAGGCCTTGGACTGGTACAAATAATTAAAATGTTAGCACTGAAAAGGGTAAATACACAGTCCAACCTTTACTGATGGATGTAAAAGTACCAGTTAAGTCAGCTTAGTGCGTGCGACCTACAAGTTAACCCCAAATTTGTTCTATCTCACCACAGGTGTGCCATGTACTCCAGGTGAGGTCTGTGCCCCGCAGGTATGGTACCTGTCACACAGCACAGGTGTTCAGTGAACCAAGGTAAAGTGTAGCATCAATCAACACTGAGTTCTGTAGGACAGAGATAAACACATCATCAGCTAGACATGATGAACTACCACCGGCTCAGGAACTTTGTTTATGTAGCCCTGATATAAGTTAAATAACTATAGTTTAATATGGCCTTTTTTTTGTGCCAGTCAAACAAAAAAAAGATTTTTGAAAAACATGCCAGTACAAAAAAGCCTACAAACACGCCAAAATAAGCCAAAGCCCAAACCTCTGCTTGGAGAATACGTTTTGTATGTCATCGCTGTTATCGCAGAGAAAATATATAAAGCCCCAATTTTGCCCCCCTCCCACGTCATTTTTCCCAGACCATTCCGAGTGATTCTCCCCCAAAAATACACGTACAAAAATGTGCTAGAAGCATTGATTAATCCAAATAAATTAATCTTAACCTTTCATGATTAAGACTTCTTGCTGTTGGCTAACAAATTAAATTTCACCAACCTTGTGACGTGACGACCAAGTTGCTTCCCGCGGTTTCCCTTTGGTATTGCATGGTACAAAAGCGCCACCCACCAACTTTACTAAAAATGCAGTTTTCAGTAGCCCTAGCTGGGCGCATAGAGTCTATGGCCAATCAGTTTGATTCCGATCTCATCGTACCTTTTGAGGACAAAAATAAACCACAATTGGATGTAAGGCAGCACTTGAGCCAGCAATCTACATGTGCAGTTTAATATTAAACACAGGGTGGCGCTTTTAGACCACCACCTGAAACGATCAGTTTTGTCATATAACCATATGTACAACTTTACATTGGCAATTCTGTAACTGTCTGCGAGTCATTAAAATAAAAAAAATTCACCTAACATTCCTCGCTTCACACCATCTACACTGGTAACATCACTCTTCACTCTTTCAAATGAAAACAACTCATATTTTTGGCATAGAACTGCCTTCATGCCCACAATTCCATTTTAATTCATCATATGAAAAATGAATATTAGCAACATTGACAATACATACATAACTTATTACTATATTTTTGAGACACTGACATGCAAGAAGTACTTTAATACAGAATCCATCAAAAGAAAAAACACTGCTGTGTGTTTCATACTTATGACCGACGTAGCAGAGCTAAAATATTCGCTATTCAGCATTTTAGCCCATGTATAAATGTAGCTATGTGGTCATATTCACTTCTTATAGTCATCTTTGTAGATATGGTTTGACCAATCAGCATGATATTACTGCATATGTTGTAAACTTGGACATGTATGAAGCTTCTTCACCTTTAGCATGCCTTGACCAAATGGTTTAGCAATCCAACTATCATTTTTACATTTGCATAAGGCATTGATAACCACTTGTCTTCTAAGGTTTCAAAAGACTTTCTTAAAGGAATGACCATCTAATGAGCAATGTGGTCCTCATTCTTTGCGTATCTAATAGCTGCAATGGACATTTTGCAGTAACACTGCGCTGCATATGTAATCTGCTAGGGGGCATTGATGGACCATACCCTGGCAACTGACAAGTTTCTACACTCCTGCTGTATTTGATTGGTTAAAATAGTTCATGGTAATCCTTCAGTGACGTATCCAGCTAAGTTGATCCTGTGCACATCTAACCGTTTTTCAATAGGACTCTTCTCGAATCATTAACCCAGAAGGAAGTCTACTTTTGAAGTATGGACTAAAGTGTGTTTTTTTTCATTCACTTTTCTTTCCTGAGGGCTTCAATAAATTCTTCCAACTTCTCTTGAATTCCCCGAACTTTCTCTGCAAGCATAAAGGAACAAACCAGTCAAACAATCAAAGTTCAGATTTACATTATGCAGTTCTTATTATACAAGTATTATACCCAAAATACAACCAGAAATTTGACAACATGTGTGTAAGAATTGCATAACAGCAACAGAAAAATGTGATGAAATCCATTGTATACAAATAAAACCAACTTACTGAGTTCTTCAGCTAGTGTGACCCTCCTGCCCTGTAGAAGGCCCAGTTTCTTCTGTGGGTCTTCACCAAGGTTCTCTAACATGTGCTTCACTTCCTTCTCTAGTCTACGGGCTACAGGAAAACAACAGATGCAAACATCATTATGGGCAAGTACTGGCCATTTTTTTCCTAACAAATTTGCTCGGACCAGTTCTGGGCACAGTTTGGGCTACTGGAGCAGCACCTCTTCTCTTTAACTCTAAGTCAGAAACATCAATGCTTGAAACAAGTTTGACTCACTAAGAGTAAAGGCTTTGAACTGATCAAATAGTAGAAGTGTAAGGGGACTGGAATGTTTACTTATGATATCTTCATGTTGATTTTGAGCAAAGTCTACCTGTATTTGAATGGGATTAAAATGTCCAAGTGAAGTTGTGAACTTACCCTCGGTGTTCATGATCTGTTGTCGGAGTGCATTACTGGTGCACTGTAACATCTTCTGTATTCTCCAGAACAGGACAATGTCATGGCACTCCAGCTGTGGGGAGGGAAACACAATACAGGTCTTTATGCAAAATAAAGTACACCGGATTCCTTCCTCAACCTACTGGCTACCGACATTTAGCACACTGCAGCCATCCGTCAGTAAGACATCTGGAGCCACATAGCTCCCGTTTAGACCTTTTATTCAGGCTGTCAGTAGATTTTTGTTCAAAAGTCACTACAATCATGTGTTCATATACAGGTAGAGACACTTCTTTTCTCTCTCCGAGAATTTATTCAATTGCTTGATATATTGTGCAACTTCTTTTCCTGCTGATCAATGAGAAAACATATGAAAAGTTGTATGGAAGAAAGAGTCCATGCTTACATCAGTGTCTGTGATCCCCCTTTGGTAGTAGTAGAAGCCTCGCCGACATTCGTTGGCTCGGACCAGCGCCTGCTTCAGGAAATGTCTCCGGTAGACTTCATGCCACGTCATCTTTATCTGTACATGGACAGAAGTCGAAAGTAAAACTTGTTAATAATCTTACACCTATCGATCTTGTAATCTAATCTGAAACAAAACCCTGCATTCTGATCATCATCAGCTATGGCTCGTAGTCCGAGCATTCGTGCCCATGTCAGAAAACCCTCATTTCAGGGAGTGTTAAACTACATCCACAGTAGTTTCTTTGAACTACAACAAGCAGGCTCAGCACATAGGAAAAGACAGCAGTTTTCCAACATCAAATTAAGGTTTCATTACTCACAAAGTCATTGTCCACTTCAACCCCCTGTGCCTCCAGGTTTTTCCTGACGGTTGTCGTTTCATCCATGGCCAGGTAAGGTGGGTGTTTCTACAGGTGAGAAAAGTCACAAAACACCGGTTAACTTCTGTTTCAACACACCTGAACATTGTTGGTACATGTATTTACTGTCGAAAAACAAGGCATTAGATCTTAATTATACTACATGTACCATGCAAAAATGTACACGTAACTATAACTCTCAGGTTTTTCAGATGATGCTGGTACAAACTGAGCTATTTCTATTATAAAATAAAAAAAGTGCACAGGATTAATCTAGTCTTGCAAAACTGTGTTTGTCATGGACATGCATTCAGAACTCTAGAAGTCAAAGATTAGTGATAAAAAGATACCAGAGTTGTGGAAGCAAATTTGTATAGTTGAATAAGTATGTAGCAGCCTTGGGAACAAACAGCATTCATGATCTTTTCTACAACTTTCAACAATAAATTTAGCATTTCTGACACAGACTTTTGTTTCCAAAATACAAAGTTTGACTTGCATTCCTTTAAAAATGATTTACAAAATTTTCCACAACAACATTCCTCAGGTTAGTCAGGCCCCGTCTTACCCTGATAGACCCAGTCTCAAAGGCCTGGTAGGCTGGCCATTTCTGATCATGAAACACACAGGAACAAAGGAGGAACAAATACATGAAGGTCTACTCACTTGTTTGCTTCCCTATGATAGTGGCAAGGTAGGTGGGGAAGACAGAGGGAGACTTAGAATCATCACAGAGTAGTTCACACAAGCAACAAGCCGATTGATAGCAAGTTCAGTTGTGTCCTTATTACTTCATAAAAATTACAAGTGCAAAACACATTTGTAATTATAATCACATCTTTTTTAAAGACAATTATAGTGCCGTTTGTCTCTCTCAGTTTATAAGGAGCAGAGTACAAACCTCGTCTAGTGCAACAATCTTCTCTAGTTCTGTCTTGGTGGCTGCACATTTGGCCTGGAACAAACAAAAAGACATAAATCAAATGGTGTACAACTTTGTGAAGCACATATGCACCACGTTTGGTAGGTAGTGCAGTGCAAGAACAGTACTAGCTACATGAACAAGCTCAAAGTCAAAGGGAAGAATTTTTCCTGAACATTTCAGACAGACGTCCCGTATGACTGACCTGCTCCTGAGACTGGTACTGCCATTTGAACCATCGACCCACCCAGCCTGGCCCCGACATCTGGTTAATCTTGGACTCCGCTGAAAAACATCTTTTATCAGTCCTTTAGCATAACAAGAGAAACGTAGAAAAGAAGGTTGCTGGGAATAACTGAGCACATGTATAGACCTAAGATTCTAGCAGTGCAAACATACAACATTTTTGCACTTCTTTTTTGAGTGGAGAGAACACAAGTACACTACTAAGAACCCCTTACTTTCAAACAGCTTGTCCTGTAAGGTTGACTCCATGAACTTGATCGCTGAATCCCACTGGGATTTTTCAGCTATGGATCTGTCCTCAAGTGCATTCAACTGGATCACTCTCTGTGGGGAACACAGAAAAACACTTCAGGCTATTCAGCCTATAACCTTCTTAACCAACACAAAAGGAGCAACTGATGCAATACATAAGATGGTTTCTAAACGGTTTTTAGTATGATCTATACTTCCTAAATTCTGAGTGGTGCAGGCAAAATTTCTCTGGTGCAGGTAATTTTCAATGTTACCTGTACAAGTGCAGGTATGCAGAAAAAAAGGATGTCGAGCACATGACTCCAATCAATTGAAAGAAGTAAGCATGCAAGTTTAAACTACAATGTACTACTGACCAGACTGTTAGCGGCCTCCCCCTGCCACCTGTGTTTCCTGGTGGCCTCCTTGATTACGGCTTCCTTCAGGTGGTCAAAGATGTCGTCGTGGTTCTGGGCGTCTCTCCCACGGTCCATCAGACACTTCAACTCCTCCTGTAAGGTCTCCCAACCAACCTACAGGGAACAAAGTCATCAATCACTTAATCCTGAAGCTTTGAGTTCAAATCAGCATATATTGTCACACATTTAATGTAAGAGTATACGGTCCTACATGTATGCCTTCTTCTGAAATGAGTTGGAGATACAAAACAGCACTTAGGTCTTATGTAAGGGTCATTTTAAATCAAGCAATCAATCTAATATGTTGAAATGAATGATGAAAGTTAGCCAACCAGTCAGGTTAACAAAGGCAATTCAAACTCTATTACTGGATAAATTATGAAGATTGCTTTGGTCATTTTGAATGACATCTATCTCTTCTTTCCATCACTAAATGAACTAACAGAATTTGTCAATACTAATATATGAGCAACTGGAAAAACATGACAAAGATATGTAAGGTCACTCAAAACATCCATAATCTATCTAACAGTAGACATTGAACTGCCTTTGAATCAAGCTGATATGATACAGCAATGCTCCCCTACAGTGACTAGCCCTTTACACACATTACCTGCACACTCTTCTTGGGCAGCTGCTGGTCTGCCCACTGTTTCAGCTTGATGTCGACAGTGGTGTTGAAGTGGCCTGCACTTTCTGTCTGAGCTGCCGGGAGGTAGATGTTCTCAATGACGTGTTCAGCAGCCTGTTCCCACAGCTTGGCCCATAGAGCCTCCTCCCTGGGGGCAAGCATGGACAACATTTTGTCTTCTAACAGTTTTATTCTTTTCTTTTATGATTTTGTTTCAATCATCTTCTGCAACACTTATGCAATGCAATGACACAAGGGAGGAGCCAGAGTATCATACTAGTGCATCTTTTTAACAATCATTGTGGTTGAAAATTAGAATTAGTACTGTCTAAACTTAAGATCATATCATTATGTGCAATACTATAAACGTTTGGATTTTAAAATAATGAAATGTACATTGATTCGCAATTCAGTAACTTGTATTACATCTACTGCCATTGATCAATAAATAATTCTTGAGTCTTGAGTCTTGAGATAAAACAGACAAGTACCCCCTGTATATGTGTCCAGTATATGCAATGACTTCTTTAAAACATTTGTAAATAGTGACATTATACAGTTGTAAGACAAAGTTGAGGCCCTGTAAAACCATTTGGATTTACTCCATTTAACTGGTCAGAAGAAAGGAGAGTCACAACCAAAAACAATTTCATGCATGGGTAGTTGACAATCAAAATGAAGGGAAGGGAAGTCTTAACATTTAAACTTTTCCCCTACATTTTCAAAAGACTAGCACTAAAGGCTTGTCTAACTCACCACTGTTTGGGGGTGACCTGACTAAGGTTCATGACCTCGTCCAGGATCTCTCCCTTGCCCTTCTCAAACAGCTCGTCCCTGTCCAGCTGACGCAGGCTGGGGTAGTTGTTCTTCCACTCTGTCTCCAGGTTAAACCTCGCCGCTGGGGAGGGAAGGGGGGTTTTACATGTGTGTTGGTTGTTAGAGAGACAGCTCATGCCAAGTGAAAAGATGTTCAACTACTGATCAGTCTTGGTGACTACTATATAACATTCTGTGGGATTTCTAAGTTGGATGCTTTATGTTCTACTGTACAGTTTCAGCTCACCCAATTATATATGAAGAGACAGACAAGGCTTTTCCAAACAAAGGAAATACAAAAGTACTTTCTAGCCACTTCACTGTCACTAGCAAAAGTATAATTCAGCAACATATATAGGGAATAGTTCTACTTATAAGAAATGTTATCATCTGCTCAAAATCATCTTTATCATTTACTTTTAGCAGTGAAGTTAACAGTAAAACCGTGCCCCACACCTTTGTACGTGTCAGCCTGCTGTTCCACCGATGCCTTGACCATCTTCCAGAAACAGTCAGACACAGCGAAGCTCAGGTTCTGGGTGGTCATCTGACTGGCCTTCAACACACCTGACCTGGAGGGGAAAATAACAGGTTTAACTTGCTGTTTAACATAAACGCAAGGAAAGGAAGTGGTGAAAGACCTGTCCTAAAATATTTACAATGTTGAGTGCTAGCCACTTCAGGGGCAAGATTCAAGCAAGGAAATATTCCTCACATATATTAGATTTTTCATACGCTGTTCAGGATTTTTGGCTTTAAAAGTCAATAACATTAAGAAGTCTACATGTCCTGGATTGACACTGATGGACTTGGAGGATTAAGAAAGCCAAAGAATTCTGGAAGAGAGCTGATTTCCTGACCTGAAGAGTTGTGACGTGCGGAAGAACTCCTCCTCGTATCCCCGGATGGTGTCGATGCTGTCATCCTTGTTGCCCCGCCCCATTACCACGGCAAAGTACCCCAGGGCCTTCATGGGGAACAGCTTACCCTCCAGGATCTGTTTTATCTGTGGTAGCAAAAACAGAAAACAGGAAGTTGAGGATTATCACAACATTGATGCTATATGAACCATGCTATACAATGGGTTACATTTCCAATGGAGCCAGACACCTGACAGCTTGTTTACTAGTACTTCTCAATCGATAGATCATAAAAGCACAAAACATATTAACCAACTTCCTGACAATGAATTTGCATCAGGCATGTACAAAAAAACTCATTAATGATAAAACAGGGCACATATTCTACTATGATGAAAATAGTCATTGAAACACTGGCTCTCCTTAAACAAGTGCTTGTGAATAATGAACTTTACTACATTCATTTCAATCATTCCCCAACCTGATAAAATTATCTACGAGTGAAAGCACAATAAAGTATCTATTTTTAAAGAAAGTGTAAAATGTTGTAAGTCTTACTCTGTGAGGGTTGGTAATGTTCTTCTCGGCCAGGTCCACTTTGGTCAGTACGAAGATGGTGCGTTTGCCCTGAGGGTCCATCTGACTGACCAGGTCAGTCACGTTACTCCTTTCTGCATCCACCGAGCCATCTGGCGAGGAGATATCATTGGACATTGTATCATCATGCACATTTCTGACAATTGACATTGTCGAAAGTAAAAAAGTGATGAATTCAATACAAATTTTATAAATAGATGTAATTTTTGTTGTTTTCAAAAGAAGTAAACATGATAAAGGCTTTTAAAAAAATCTGTAAAATTTCACTTTCACAGCTTGCTTTTGTTTTTCTTCAATGCATCCTTGTTGTTTCTAAACCTTGAAAATTACCTCCCTAAATTTTGTTTACACAAGTGCTAGCAGTGTTTTTATTTCACTTACCTTGAATACATAGGATGATGGCATTGGGGTTGGACATGTAGTGTTCACACATCATTTTTATGGACTCTTTGGTGGCAGAGGCCATGCCTTGGGTTTCAGTCTGTGGAGGGAAAAAGTAGACTGTAATTCATGCATCAAACTAGTTCAACTCATTAATACTCAATCATGACCTGTTGTATACTAAGCTAATGAAAATGTGTGAAAATAAAAAGTGTCAAGAGTAGGGGTGGGTACCGGTATAGAAAATTCAGGTCCAGGTCCGGATCAGGTTCAGAGGATCAGGTCCAGGTCCGGACCTGAACCGGACCTGATTATTGTACAGTAGTATAGTATATCATATTTTGGCAAGCGAGACACAATTTCTTCGTGTACACGACACGGCCTTGCATGAGGCCGCTTTTCCCGATGAATAATACGGCTGAAATGCCAGCACATCCACAAATAATTTGATCAAATACTTAATTGCTGCGATCTAAAATCTTACAGGGTTCTCTTAGCGGGGGTTGTTTATTGTTTTGATTGGTAAAACGCAGGGTAAAATACGCTAAAAATTTAGCCACGCCGCGGTCCACACTTCGGGGTTAAGTGACGACAAAATCACGTCGAAAACGCTAAAAATCCGCATAGAAGCATATATTTTCCCCAAAGATTCTTGAAACTATACATTTCTTCACTAGAATATCGATGTGTGGTTGTGCAAAATAGAATTTTAGCGGCGATATCGAACAATGACAAAGAAAAGTTGTTTACATGCGCGTCGGCTCGCTCAAGTCTGCCGCCTCGCTCCCTACGCTGCCAGCAGCTGCGCAACAACCAATCAGAGATGCGAAATGCCGACACGTGACGCGGGATTGCGTCACAATATGGGGGAGGGCTCGCCGTGCACGAAATGTTTCTGCGTCAATATTCAGCGCCGTGTTTCAAGAGATTAATACCGGGAAACATTTTTTTTCTTGTTTTTGAACGCATAAACATGGATTTAGGCTGATCTAGTATGATTCAGGGTTATTTTTTTTTTACCTGCCATGGCCAGATTATCTAAAGATCATCATTAAGATGTGTGTGTTGTGTGTACAATCTACAGAAATGTACATCAGGTCCGGTCATCCGGTTTTCACGTTTCGGTTTTTTGGACTCGGTTCTTGAATGTTGTTCCGGTCTAAACCGGTCCGACTGAACCGGTACCCACCCCTAGTCAAGAGGAAGAAAACTTGAATTCTATACTTACACTGATGATCCCAGGCAGATCTACCAGCACCATTCTCTGTAACCCTGGTCCTTTCACACTCATGGAGATAGTCTGGAAATACATGTACATGGCACATGCTGAGTGCAGTATTCAGGTAATTCAAGATCTTAACTCTCTCATACATGATAAAAAAACCTAATTGGAAATTTTTTTTTTAAATGAAGAGATCATTTTACCTCCATGCTGACAGTCTGTCCCGGCCTCACACTGGCTTTCATTCTGATCTCAACTTCTCTCCGCAGAGCTTCCAGCTGAAATAAAACATTAACAGCACAGTTGAGATCTCATACATGCCAAAGTACCTTAATGCATTTACAGAAGTCCTGATGGCTCTTATGTCGTCTGTGCCATCTGGTTAGAGCTAACTGTAAAATAATTAACCCTTATCTAATCCTAGAGCTAGAAACAAAAGAAAAACTACATACCTCAGATTCTTTGGTAAGGTCAAATTCCCTGTCACTGTCCTTGAACATGGCTATGTGGTGGGGACCTTCACTCAGTGTCACCTGGGGGAGGAAAATTATGTCACAGTAAGCTCTTTATATCAAACTCTAAAACATGAGATAGTTTAACCTTCTCCCACACAATGGAATCACAACAGAACTGAACATTAGCTAGGAGTTCAGCATCAGTCTATGCAACAAGTCCTAAGTCCAAGTACTTCTGATGTAGAGTTCTGCCACCCAATCTCTATAGTCTATTGTGTACAGCTTACACGGGTGCAGAAAAACTAAACAACAGAACATACATGTACCATCCTGTCAAAAGATTCCAATGTGTTAGCGACAATATGGCAAGTGACAGATTTGATTACCCCGTACCTTGACCGGTGCCCTGGTCATCATCTCCCCCGCCCCCCTGGGGAAGATCCTGGCCTGTGCCACCATCTCTAACACACTGGTCTTCCCTGCACTCTGGTCACCCACTACAACAACCTGGGTGGGGGAGAGGACAATACAGTAAGAACATGAATTTAGAATTATCATCCTTACACAAAATGTACATTAACCACATTGGACACTACTTGTAGAACGAGATATATTTAAAAGGATACACTATAGAAATGTACAGTAACCCCTCCTCCATACCATGATTGACAGAGCTCATAGTATACTACTCACCCTTGGTAGTTCATCCTGTGTGTTGTAACTTGAATCGTACTCTGACAGTTCATCAAGCACCTCTGAATACATGTCAATCAGGGATTTCTGAAAAAGGCAAAAACAGGCTTTACGAAGGTGATAAACAGTCCTGGCTGTGCTACAATTTTACTCACTCAATAATTGTACCAAATCCTGACAAGCGCAAGGATGCTTTAAAGTACAGGTAGAACAGTTTGAGAAATACCAATCTTTCACCCACCTTTGTTCTTCTCTTGTATACTGCCTTATCCCCCTTCAACATGATCTGTTTTCTCAACTCTTTGTTCTCCTTTTCCAGACGTTCCAACTGTCTCTGGTACTTCAGCTGTGGAACAACAAGCAAAGACATGTTGGTGTGACTGGAAACACAATTTTCAAGTCAATGGGCAACATGAGGAATAGGTACATGTAATTAGAATGACAGTTTAACCAACCTGCTCTTGAAGGAACTCCTCTTGTATCTTTTGTAGTCTTTCTTTGTCAGACATCTGCAAAGAACAAAACATGAATAAGCTACATTAAATTTTGTAGTTAATCAACTAATTCAAACACTTCATCATTCTAAAAATCTGAGGACAAGTTGTCATCTCCCAACCATGTAATATCTAATGACAATTCTGTATCAATGGGAATTATCAATGGGCAATCTCAAATATACCTTATGATAAAAAGTTTAATATTTTGTTTGTAAGACGTTTGGTTATTGTACCTTCTTTGCTGATTCCTCCTCACTTCCCTCAGCATTGACTTTCATGGCTGTCATGACTCCTGTAGTGATGCTGTTGTCTGTGAACACACACGCATAGGATTGCTATACTGTACATAGAAGCTTTCTCTACATTGAGAACAACTGTGCATATTGTCATGATGAACACTTGTGTGCTACATGGTCTACCTTGATCAAGATCACCTGTCTGAGTTTGAGGACTGTCATTATGAGGCATGTTGTTTCCTAGTGTTAGCAGTGTAGGAATGGCACTAGGGACAATCACAGGAAAGAACTTCCTAACACATCTACCATGCAGCAATACGTGTAAGTGAACAGTGGTAATTCAAAAATCTTCTTTTGTTTGGAGAAGAGACTGTTAATTCCTTGAGCATCCTTGCAAATAAAGTCTTTCAGCGAAGTCAAAACATAAAATATTATGGCAATGGAGTGATTGGCCAGATTGGCCAGAGTCTCATACTAGTAACCAATCAGGTATGTAGATTGTATGTTAAAGAAACCTGATTGGTCAGTCCCATTGACCAATCAAGTGGATAGCCCGTGTGACACCTCTACTTTTACTGGTACAAATATTCTTGATTTGACATCATAAAAAAAGCTGATATCGTCTTATGGAGTATCTCTTGATCAGATGTCAACCTACACCACCATTAGCAATGTATTATATAGAATCTTCAAAAGTAAAGTTATCAGTTGAATTGATGGAAAGTCAGTTAGATGTTAGAAAATGCAGACCTGTGAATTTTCAGAGAGGCAGTCGTACTTGTATACACTTATGCATTTGTAGAAGTCAACTTTGTTGACATATTCTATCAGTTGTTGCAGAGACAAAAGCACAAGAGGTTATTAACCTAATTAGTGGAATAATTACAATATGTAAAGTGTTACAGACCTATGAAAGGGACTGAGCCAAGAGGAATTGGGCTGCGTTTGACTTCGCTGAATATACCTGTCACTGTGGCAACTCCTGGCAAGCAAAACATTGTCGTAAGAAAACAAAGAAAAACAAAAACGGTTGGAGGCAAGGACACAGGGCATGTGATTTCAATAGGTTTGGAGTAAGAACTTTGGTTTAAAATTAATGACAGCATTTTCTTTTACCCCTCAAACTACACTTACACATATTGACACATCTTAAAACTTGCTCCTACAACTTACAAGTATGAGAGGCTAATGCAGACAAAACATAAATTGGCAAATAGCAGAAAGTGAAAATATGAGAACAGAGGTAAGAGCAAATCACAGAGAGAAGATGTATAGCAGAAGCAACAGAAAGAAGGAGCAGTCTTACCTTCTTCTGATAAAGAAAGCAAACAGAAAGATTCTTAGTGAGCATGACATGGAATTTACAGCCCAATCATGACACAGAAAGAGAACACAGTGACACTTGAAGACAAGAACACAAAACACAAAGCCCAGACAAAGATAGAAAAATAGTAGGAAGCATGGCACAAGCTTCTGAAGATAAAACATTTTAGACTCCACAAACAATGACTAACCTTCATTGAAGACAGAGGAGAAATCGTCCATGGTGACATCAGGTGACCAGTCCTTCATCTTGTCTGCATCAGGGAGGTAACCCTTTAACGAGGCTATGTCTGGGGTTTCTGGAAGCTCTGGTATGGACTTCTTCAGTTTCAGCAGGAATTTTCTGTACTTGTCCGTGTCTACATTAGGTATGAACTTGCTGACTGTGTCTGCATCAGGAAGGTACTCTCCCAGCCAGCTCATGTCTGGTACCTTGTCCTTCCATGATTCGTAAGTCTGTAGGAAGAAAGAGTAGATTTACTGGTTGTTCATTTCACGAATGAAAATACCATAATTTGATTCCACATGCATATTGGTACAGCTATGGGTAACAATAACTAGAACAAAGCTATAATGGTGGCATAATCATCCTCAAGCTTTTATTTTTCTTAGATGTTTCAAAACAGCCTGGAAGCATTAAAAGCTCGATGCCCCTACATGATATACTGACAGTAACAAGCTTAATACTACTCACCACTTTTGCACTGTATCCACCTCCAATGCCTGCTCCAAGAATCCAGTAGCGAATTTTCAACAGCGGACGTAGCTTACTCAAAACACTCATGTTTCTTTGTTGTGATTGGACAATACGGCTGGTGGGAGTCATGAAATTTCTCAAGTTGGGTCTCGCTAATGTGGAGTATTGACAGAGGAGTTGAGTGTGATGTCTGTTCAGATGGGTTGATTGAAGTAATGAAGATGCAGTTCTGGAGTTGGTTGGTAGGAGGGGCTTCTGAGACAATCTTTGGGATGCATGTCGTGATGTAAGCTTCTCTACACAGTACCTGCAACTGGGACTGTAAACAGAGATAAAATGTTACCATATAGATTATCAATGTTTCTTTGAGGACACTATATCATTACTAAGCCATGTGATGAAACAACATGTACACAGACTAACACAGTAGAAAGGAACACTGCAATTCACACTTGGGAATAATAATAATGACATACTTTAAAAACTGTAATGATGTTTTATGAGGTCTACCAAAGTCATCATCTTAAAGGTTAATATCATATTTTTATCAGCAAAAACATGGTTTAAATTTCATCTAACTTTAACACATACAGTACATACAGTGTAGTTGTATAATGTCCTTGGTAGTGCAGTGAATTTGTAACAAGTTATGGTATCTGCAGACTTCTTTGTCAACTCTACCAAAGTCTAAGACAATAGTGGGCACATCGTGCTTCATTTGTTGAAAAAAAAAATTATGATCACATTGTATGTAGGTCAACGAACTAAATTCACCCGCCCTCCCCCATGGCCATATCATGTGGCCGTATGTATACGTAAACAGAAATTTTGATCGTGAGAGTGTATGATAATCCTACAGAATAAGTGTCAATCACTTGATGTACTATTCGTAACAGTGACAGACTGAGAGACATGATGTAACGTGAAATTTATGATGAAACGTTTTTCAGATGATTTCCGATGCGCGATGCAGCGAAGGGCAAATAAAGTATCGACATTCAACGTCTTATTCACAGATACTTATAAACCGATGGTGTCTTTTCAGCTTACCTGAAGGTCCCTGAAGCTAGCCGCAACATCTTAATGATTTATTATCCTCTTCCTGCGTTGTGTGGGACAAAATAATGACAATTTGCTATGATTTTGGACAGCGATACCCTGCCCATTTTCATCAACCCAATATGGCTACAACTGACAATAGCTTCAGTTATGTGACCGTAGATTCGAAGGCTATGATATCCATATAAAAAGAATGTAGTATATACTATCAAGTAACTACTTAAAAGTTGTGTTGAATAAACACTATGATATTTTACCGCAAAGAAAAATTAATGTTTTTTTCTGACTCTACTCACATCACCCATCTAAATATACGAGAGTATAATGTTCTGAATCATGCACTTGTTATTTTCTGTTTGGTCAATGATGACGTCAGGTTCGAGGGTATACTAAGAGTTTAGGACATGTGATGGTTAATTATAGTACAAATCTGGCTCAGAGAGCTTGAAATAATTATTCTATTCCTACGACTCAAAATTTTAGATATGCTTTCAGGTGTCTCTGTGATTTTCTTCAGAGAGTTTGCTCCGTTTTAGCCAATTTTACGGAGCATCAAATACCCTATCTTCACCCTCCCATTAGCTGTAAAACTAAAAGCCTCAGGAAGTCAGCCATGCCGATATCTTGTGGTCTGTGCGAGAAAAGAGCGATGCTCAAGCGGCCCAAGACGGGCGGAGCGCTCTGTAAGGAGTGTTTCTTCACGGTGTTTGAAGCAGAGGTTCACCAAACGATCACTTCTGCCAGTCTTTTCAAAAGGTAAGAGAAACTCAGTCGAAAGAAAGGGGTTAGAAATTATGGGGGAGGGGGGGCATGACATAACTTGGTTAGGAGATTGCGTAATGCAAGGAGCAAATCTAGCTATCCCTATTATTATATGCCCTTCGATAGTATCGGCAAGGGTACCTTGGGTAAGAACGGTCGGTGAGTGGAACATTCTACCCTCGCACTTAGTCACATCACCATCAGTTGACAGCTTTAAGTTGGGGCTGGCCCAGCACATGGGCCTCCCCAGCTCCCAGCTATAATCAGGAATCACTTTGCGGCCATGTATATAGTCACTGCACAAATTTATTTTTCTTGCTTGTTCGTTATGTTGATTTTTTTTTCTTGTTTTATGAGCACCAGCACCCCACCAGGCCGCATATGCCGTGCAACTGAACGTGAGGCCCCATGAGGGTGTTGTTCAGAAACTCATAGATGTAGATGTAGATGTACCGAAGTAACGGGTTCCTCACTGGCCGCCCAGTGCGGAACTCGCGGGGAAAGTGGCGTCGGCACTCGGGGCCCTGTGCGGAAGGAAACTCCGCACTGGAATTCTAGTGCAGAAACGGCTTTGTTCCAGTGCTGAAACACCGTCAGGGACTGGAATTCCAGAGCTGAATCTTGACTCGGCACTCGTTTTCCGGTGCTAACTTCCACTCAGCACTCGGGTGCCAGCGCTCGGATTCCGTTCACCACTGGATAGCCAGCGCTCGGAGGCCGTTCACCACTGGATAGCCAGTGCTGAATTCCACTCGGCACTCGCTACCAGTGATCGGAGGCCGTTCACCACTGGATAGCAAGTGCCGAAGTCCCTAAGTAACGGGTTCCTCACTGGATCGTTCCAGTGCTCGGTGACTCTTGGTGCTGGAAGCCGAGTTCTCAAATCATTTCGGCACTGGGCCTCTGGTGCTTACGTCGGCCGCGCGGCGTACAGTACAGTATCGCAGGCCAAGTCTATGTCTGTAAAAATGTGAGGATCTGAGCCTTGCAGTATTGTCCTGCCGATCACCTTGTCGTCCCGATTATAATTTGCTTCCCGGGCGGTACGATCTCGAAAATATAAGTGTTAGAGTTCAAAGGCGGCATCTCGGTACCCTTTCTAAAGGCAAGGTTTGATTTGCCGATTTAGAGTTTCCAGTGCTGAAGCCGCCGACACTGGACACCAAGTGTTGACGTACCCTCGGCACTGGAGATCTAGGACGGAAGCCGCCTCACCTCTGTATACCGAGTGCTGAGAAAGGAGCCCGTTACTTCGGTACTTTTGCATAGTATCGATCTTACCTTTAAAGCTATTATTTAGAATATCATAAATTTGCTATGAAGGATCCTACCGTATCTGATGATGAAAAAAGTTCCATTCTACAAGTACAAGGGCTCATGATAGCAATAATCTATTATAATTTACATTATAATACATGTAAAGTTCTATTTCTAGTTTCTCTTATATGCTGCCATAAGGTACTTACTGCTTGGTACAATAATTTCCACTTCAGGGGAGAAACGGTTGCCATAGCAGCCTCCGGAGGGAAGGACTCCACAGTCCTGGCCCACCTGATGAAACTTCTCAACCATCGCCATGACTACGGCCTGAACCTCATCCTGCTGTCCGTGGACGAGGGCATCACCGGTTACCGTGACGACTCCTTGGAGACGGTGAAGAGGAACCAGCAGCAGTATGAGCTGCCGCTGAAGGTCGTGTCATACAAGGTCAGGAAGTTCAAGGGTACAGTGACACACACAGCTAAGGGCCATTCCATTAAAACTTACAGGGGCCAGCCAAAACACATCTTTTTTTACTCTGTCCCCTTTGATATCTGTTAAGTTGCCTGTATCTTTTGGTTCTCGTGAATCTCTCAGTCCCCTTTCTTCCATGCTTCTTTTTATTCTGGAGAAAACTATCAACATTTAATGATCTATCTTTCAAATGGAATCATCCAAAATACATAGCCTGGAATCCATCCGTGAAAGTTTGTCTCCGCTCCGTTCCTCTGCTCTGCATTCACAGAGCGGAGGAACGGAACAGAGACAAAGCGTTCATGGATGGATTCCAGGCTACAAAATACAGGCACTGAGTTGTGGAATCATCCAAAATACAGGAACTGAGTCAAAGTTATACTGACAAAGATGTCAAACATTTCTTAACCACAGGAGCTGTATGGCTGGACGATGGATGAGATTGTGCGACAGATCGGACTGAAGAACAACTGCACGTTCTGCGGCGTGTTCCGTCGGCAGGCGCTGGACCGAGGCGCCATGATGCTGGGGGTCAACAAAATCGTCACCGGCCACAACGCTGATGATGTGGCAGAAACCGTCATTATGAATGGTCAGTCTATGGATGTTTTGAGTATTTCTTGCCTTGTTGCTTGTGAAGTTCTTGATAGTATTTAGGAGGTTTTGTATGTTGTAGAAATATGACTCATCTAACATGTGGGATAGTATGGTGTAACGGTAGAATGTTCAGCTCAGCCTCAAGTGGTCCCGGATTTGAATCCTGCCCGATGCCACTTGTACCCTTGGGAAAGGCACTTAACAGAACTTTCCTCACTTCACTCAGGTATAAATGACTACCTAGCTTCAGTTAGGGATGCCCCTTGGATAGGACATTAAATGGAGGTTTCATGTTTGGGAGAATCACACCCCATTCCGTACTTTTTGAAAACAGTAGGGGACCTCCCAGGTGTAAGTGGTTCAAACCTTACAGTCTGGTCTTATGCAGCTTGTACTTACATGTACAAAAAAGGTGTGGTACGCCTAAAAAAAGGCGGTTTACCGGTTATGCGGAACAAACAAACCTCATTGAATATGTGTTTGAAACGTGTCAGTCAGAACTATTTTACTGAGTTGTTCATGATCATATGTTTTGTTCTAGTACTGCGGGGGGATATTGCCAGACTCCAGAGGTGCACAGCCATTGTCACAGGCACAGAGGGAGCTATCCCGAGGTGTAAACCTTTCAAATATACCTACGAGAAGGAAATTGTCATGTAAGTCTTATTATTTTATTCCTCTTCTTGTACTAAAGTTTAATGGAATTACATGTACCGGTACTTTACTTTTGTTCCACTACTGGGTAAATGACACAATAGACCACACATTCAGAGCATATATAGCATACATCTGTTTAATAGTATATATGTCCATATTGACATCACTAGAAGCATTTCTACTATTTCAATCATTACTTTTATCAATTAGAAAACTTCCTTAATCTTGTCTTTGCAGGTATGCATACTTCAAGAAGCTTGACTACTTCTCCACAGAGTGTATCTACTCACCCAATGCCTACAGAGGACATGCTAGAACCTACTTAAAGGACCTAGAGTCTATCAGGTCCACTTCTATTATAGACATCATCCACTCAGGAGAGTGTATGTCTGTTAGTGTCAAGAAGGATGTGAAAATGCCAACACAGGGTACTTGTGCAAGGTATGCAGGACATTGTACTGCAGTTCCATTCTGATCTGTAAAGTGGCACTAATAATCAGTGTATGGAAAGGGGAATCTTGATGCATTGCTCAAGTGTAACAGTGTTACTGGCATGGATGAGTTGGCTAAGATTCTAGAAGCTTTGCCTCTTGTTTTCAGTTTGTTGACATTCTTAAATTTATAAGCTCTAAACCCACATGTTTTTTTTTGTTTTTGTTTTTTGCCAGTTAAACTCATACCATGATACATCTGTGGAGGTTTTGGAAGGTTTATTGTTTTGGAAAAGGCCCAAAATCATATCCAGTTGCTTGAGTAACTGTTTTTAGCATATCATACAATTATAGTATTATATCAAAATATTTCCTTCTGAATTTCAGGTGTGGCTACATATCCAGCAATGAGTTGTGCAAGGCCTGTGTGTTGTTAGAAGGTTTGAACAAGGGGCTTCCCAAGCTGGGGATAGGGAAACCACACAAGGCAAGACTGGCACTCGGGCTCACCAATACACCCGACACAACCACTGCCCCTGGGTCTCAGCGCAAAGAGGGATGCCAGTCATGTTCATGTAGAAGCCGTCCATATGCTGCTGTTAGTGATACTCCAGGGTGTAACAAAGATAACAGACTCAGTTCACAAAGCAAGGAAGACAACAGGCTCACAGACTCCATAGCAAAACAGGAAGAACTTGGAGCAAGCTATACTGTAGGGGCAGGTGGAGACTCTTGTAGTTGTAATAGTGATGTACAGAGGGAAACAAGTGCCAGTACAATAGGGGTGAAGTCTGTTTTGTGTGGCCAAGATAAGAATACACCATGTGCATGTAGGAAGGGGAAGGGCCAAGTAGGGACAAGGGTCACAGGAGACAGTCCTGCTGTACCAGACTTGGACTTTTAGTGCTTTACAGCACATTGTTATAGGTTTTATGTATACTTTGCTCCATCTCATCATGACTTACTGGAAATATCTATTGTTGTTATGTAACAGCACATTAACCTTCTTCTTCTTCCGGTGTAAGCCCACATTCGTTACGACGAATATTTTGGCTTCTTGGGAGAGAGCGCGTTTTGCGCAGGAGTCTGTGCAATCATGTAATACTGACTTTAAGGGTTGTCCATAAATCGTCGTCCATTGTCCATGCCGAGTCGTCACCAAGAAGGCTGTAAAAGTAGGTCTAAGACTGCTCTGCGGCCGCTCGCGACACAAACGCCTCCACTGTCGCGGCCTCTACAGTCTCCTTCTGCAGGTGATTCCAATCCCTGATTGACCTAGGTAGAAAAGAGCCCCCCCTATACTGTGTCCTACTGTAACCAATTTGTTATCCACTAGTACTGTTCTGTGAGATACCTGTTAAGCTGAGTACATGTATTTCCTGATTACTTGCTTTAAGAATGACAATACTGTTTCTAATTATATCATGTTCAACTTAATGGTTCACAAAGTTCTTTTAAAACTTCTCCAGACTGGACATGCACATGCAAAGTAAATCTGATATGTGTTAAGCTGAGTATATGTATTTCCTGATTAGTTGGTTGAAGAATGGCAATACAGTTTCTAATTATAGATGTCCAACTTCACTGTCACAAAGTTCCTTTAAACTTCTCTCGACTGGACATGCACATGCAAAGTAAATCGGATACCTGTTAAGCTGAGTGTATTTCCTGATTAGTTGCTTTAAGAATGACAAAACTGTTTCCAAATTATATCATGTCCAACTCAATGATTCACAAAGTTGTTTTCAAACTTCTCCCTACTGGACATGCAGTTATGCACATATGCTGTTTTAGGACAAGTTACACCAAAAGTCAGCTGTTAGCGACTGGCATTGTACAATTTTGTATTCATGACCAGTGCACTTTGCATGTCCTGGCTAGGGAGCAGTCGCAGACACTTCACACACATAATAGTTTTTGAGATCGCACTCATCATCAATCCAGAAATCCCCAAATATTGCTAGCCTCCACTCAGCGCACCTTTCAGTACCACTTAGATCATGAGGTTCCCCTGGATACCAGTTGGACCACCCAGAGAGCTTTGACCCATCATCCCACATCCAGATCCCCTTAACTTTCTGGTCTGTCAGCCCAAAATAGATCTGTGGATCAGAGCTACTGGAGGACAGGTACTTTGTGTACAGAAAGCTTGTCACAAAGGCATGTATTTCCTCTTCCCGAGGAACAGCGAGATGACCACCAGCAGCCTGACAGGTTGACCTGGCCTCGCTGTATGTCTTCATGTCAGAAGAGAAATTGAAGCACAAGTTCTTGAACTGTTCATAACCACTGGGACAGGTGAGCCTCTCACTTGGCTCAGGATAGGTCACAGAGCTGGCTGCCAAATGGAAATATACTCCATTCAATGCACATGTACACTCTCATTTCATACCAACTCTCAAAATGGTAAAACAATACTCGTGCAGTCATTGTTCTTTGAAAGTTGAAAATTGCTGTTTCCAAATTGTGCAAATTGTTAAATGCTGAACATAAAAATGAGCCAACAGATTAACTATTGCAGCACATTCAGGTCAGGAATTGTCTGTTTTGACAATGACTGAATGAATGAATGGTTCATTTGTAGTAGTAAAACAACAGGAAGTTTTTCACAGTCCGCCGACTGAATTTCTGCTTTCTGAAAGTTCTGCTTTTTATTGTCCTCAATATGTCAGAGTTTCTCATGTTCCCACTCATGGTGGGAGAACTGCTGGGTCCAGTTTCTTTGCAAACACTAATATAGCACTCACCTTGTTTCAAGAGCGAGAGTTTTGTCGTCAGGTTCCTGACTTGCTCCTGCATCTCAGCAATGAAAATGTCCTGGAATGTATACGCCAGATATGATCATTTTATTTGTCCCAGATTAAGGGTTTACAAGGGAAGGGTTACATCTGATGCAATGAAGCATGTCATGTTTTGGCAACAACAAAAGATCACAGGAGTAAACCAAATATAAAAAAAACCATAGACTGCACCTGTTTAGTCCCATTTGTCTGAAGGAAGTCAATTTTTTCCTGCAGCTGAGCAAGGTGCTCCCGGAGTTGGTCCACCTACAAGGACAAGCAATCATTACACTGGCGATGAACTTCTGACCAAAAAAAAAACGATGGGTCGCCCAGCTCATGTAATGATGGGTAAATTCCAGGGTCATTCTCAACCAGTTCCATTGTAGAGACTCTAAACTTTCTACCTAACTTATATTTTATGAAAGCTGCTCTAGCGCAACAGCAAAGAAAGAACATGAATGTTTGTGAATCGATAATTGAGAGCTTGTGACCAACCTGGCGGGCTTCTGCCTCATCCTTTTTCAGTTTGTCCGGATAGTTTTGGACTTGAACTTCAGGGCCGTCCTGAGTCCTGGGCCAAACTGTCTGCTGCCCAGACACAATTGCGCCGAGGGTTAAAATCAGTACTACTTTTACACCCATGATATTATAGTTATTGGTGCTCTTCTAAGATTAAGGTGTGACTATCCCCAATGAAGTACTGTTCTCACTGCTGTGCCACAAGGAAATGACACCTGATATTCTTGTTGAAGCTACCTGAAAACTCCAGGTTGTCCAGGGATACACAGGCACGTAACGTTACTGTCAACATTAACACAGGCTCGACCAAGTCCCATTGATACCTGTCCTATTAGTTCAGACAAGGTTTTTTGTGTGTGAATTTCTTATTTCAAGTCTTTCAATGCCCGCTGCACAAGATAGTGAATTGTTTTCACAGACGGATGACATGAACCTCAGTGCTACTTCACCGTTCACTTGAAAGAAACGACAATGACAATTTGCAAGCATTATGTTTTATGTAGATGCAAGTGTGAAAACAGTCTCTCAGTCCCAAAGTTTAAATGGAATAGCCCCAAATACCTCATTACTATTACCCAGAATGCCACACGGCCTACGGACAAAGGCAAACCCGGAAGTGTTCTGAACTACCTGTGAACACACCTTGTTTCGACCGCCACGTTTCTCACTAACTATCAGTGGGACTTGTAGGATTTTATGTCGCATACAGTAAATGTTGCCATCCTACGACATGTCTGTGGAGCATTAGCAACTACATAGCAGGTGGTTTGTGTGCAAAATACTAGTACGAGAACGTCTGAGGGGTGGCAGGTGTTCACAGGGTAGTGCCATACTGCGACAACAATGGCGAGTCTAGCAGGTAAACTGCGGCAGCTAAATTTACGTCTACAGAACAACTGCAGCCCCGAACGTGGCTACGGAGAGGCCCTTGTGCGCGCTATTGCAGACATGGACACTAGGATAGAGGCGGAGGCACTCAAGTGTCTTGGTGACCTGTACCTTGAGAGAGGAAAACGCACGAAGAGTGAGGACGACTTCGACAAGGCCGCTGCCATGTACACTGCCTGTATTATGAGATGTGCAGATACGGACATAACAGAGGCCATCTCTGATCGGTTACGGTATATGGGTAAAATCAAAGGTACGTTTCTACGCAAAGCATCTCTAGTAGGAAGCACCGAACGCAGTGAGAGCCAAATCAAGACTTCCAATCGCCCTGTTTCAGAAAACAATACCTTAAGGGTAACAGAAATATGTCAAGAAGTGGACGCAGCCGTCCGAAGAACTTCAACTAGCGTGCGTTCACTAAGACAGCGTTATGCCCAAGTGTTGGTGGACGCTGTGTCGAACAGAGATCCTTATCTGGAAGTAGAGGTTCTGAAAACACTTGGGGACTCGTACCTTGTTGAAGGAAAGAGCTGTACGGAAGTGTCGAAGCTGTCCAAGGCCTTTGCGTTCTACTATGCTGCGCTAACAAAGTGCTCGACGCCATGTGACAGGCAAACTCTACTACATCGTGTGAGGTACACCGAGAAGGTTCGAGAATTTGTCAGGAAGGTGAGCTGGTACATGTACAGTTTAATGTCATCATTGAAAAGATATATCTAAACGTGCCTCATAGCAAGTGGCCGATTCAATTACGTCATGCGCAACGTAGCATTGACCGTTATGTCTGTGTCCCTCATACCACGGGCTACTCCATTTTGACTAAGGTCCACTAGGGGTGCAACGTTTGATTTACAAGAAATAGATTTGATTCAGAAATTCAGGAAGTGATTCAAGTTGAAACATTGCAAAGAGTAGAGTGGTTACTGATGATAACAAGACTTGCCTTTTACAACTTGACGAGGTTGTCACGTGACATAATGCCAGG